TCCACAAACACGGCCAGAAGTACCCGGGGGGGAGGCTGTGGACACCACAGGACAAGGCTAACAGAAGCCCAGGCCTCTCTCTGCCCCACAGCCCTCCCCAGCCACTGCCCACTCTAGGGTATGCCCAGGGGCTCAGCAACTGAGGCTGCCCAGCACCACAACTCTTCTCACCTGCCCCCCCGGGAGTGTCCTCTGGTTCTGGTTGCAGAATCCACAGCCTCCCTGGGGAGTCCAGCCATTGGGGACATAGTTGCCCAGGTAGTTGAGCTGGAGCTGTTGGGACAGGAGGTGGCTAGCTGAAGCAGAGTTGTCTGGGGACAGATGGGATGCAAGTTGGGCTCCACACAGGGAGAATTCAGCAAGGTGAGGAGGCAGCTCTCATGGTGTCATGTCACCAGCTCCTCTTCTACTGGGACTGGGGAGGACCAGATGGTCCAGGAGGGATGCGGTACTCAGGGCTTGAGACAAACAAGGGCAGAGGGCACCAGGGGCACCTTGGTGGGACCATTTCCATGGACCACAACAGGAAGAGTGTCATAGGCCACATTTCGGATGCGCACACGATTCTGGTCGAACTTTAAGACCACTTCATCTGGGGGAAGAAAGGGAAGGCTTTCAAGAGTCCTTTTATTTGGGAACCATAAAACAATAGGTTCTTTTTTGTTTTTGGATGGTGCTGACGATTGAACTTAGGGTTTCTGTATGATAGGTACACCTTCTATCACTTAGTTCTTCACCTCCAGTCCCTCACTGGGGGATTCTAGGCAGGGGGCTCTACCACTGAGCCACACCCCGGTTCCTCACTGGGGGATTCTAGGCAGGGGCTCTACCACTGAGCCACACCCCAGCCCCTCACTGGCAAATCCTCCTGGGCATTTTGCTGCTGGGCTGCTCTCCTAGCCTCATCATTGCTAACACAATATAACATGCTTAGGTGCTGGGTAAGTTAGCACACTGGTCATCTGTAGGTCAGCCCAGTTCTGGTAGGAACTTCATCACCCAATTCTAACCCTCTTCTTCCTCACCTAAGGCTCCATTGAGGTTCTGGAAGATCCGGGATTTATGGTCCAGATTAAGTTTGAGTTTCTCCTAGATGGCATGAGATGGACCAGTGAACTGAGAGGGGACAGGTGACACTGGATCTTTCCCCAACTCCCCTCGTGCCTCCTCTCCCATTCAATTAGGGGTGTCCCTATCCTGAGGCTCCCTACCCGCAGTCCTGGGTCCAAGTACAGTCGAGTGTAGAATAACTGATCATCATCATCATCTTTGTATTTCCACTGGCGGACAATTTGATGGATAGTGGGAGCGAAGCCAATGAATCCTGGGGGACAGAAGAGAGGTAGATCCCCAAGAATCCCAGAATCTCTCTCCAACCCTCAGGAACCTGGAGCATGCAATGCCCCCAGCACTTCGGGAAGCTCAGCTCTTTCTTGGGTTCTTCGCCACTCACCACCAGAGTTGAGGAAGCGCTTCCCCATGCCCACCTCAGGGTACTGCTCTGCCAGCCCCCACTCAGGCCAGCAGAAGCCCTCGGCGGAGAACAGTAGATGACTGCCACTCTGAACAAACTTCTTCAGCAGTTCTGCCGGGCTGCTGGCCAGAATCACATCGTAGCTGGACAGGAAACAGGTCTCTGTTTTCTCTCTTCATATTCACTGTACCCCTCTTCCCACCCCAGACCCCTCTTTACCTATCTACAAACATAATGATCATGTCCTCCCGGTTTGCATATTTCTCCATTTCCTTCTTTAGCCACCTGACCTTCTGGCCTCCACCAACTGTTCGAGCAACATCACCTCCTCGCCACTCGTGCCCCAGGCCCAGGGTCTGCAGGAAAGACCCCACCCCCTTGCCATGGCAGAGGCTCAGCAGGCCAAGGTGAGGCAACAGGGCCAGCGCCCCTGTCCACTCCTGATGTAACTTCTCCCAGGAGTCCCCCACTCACCCGTACAGTGTAGTTAAAAAACTCCGCAGACTGCAGAAAACGCCGGTATCCCTCTGTCTCTGCCGTAGCCACGGTGATCACCAGCAATTTGTCTGTCAGAGGCATGAAACTGGCACTTAGGACCCACGTGTTTATCCCTGTGTATCCCCTCCACCGCCCTGTTATTTCACTAAAGTTCTTTCCAGTTCCCTCCTTTAACTTCTTTCTGCCCAGGGACATTTGCTCTCCAGAAGAGTCGAGTGAAAAAGCATACAGGGCTGGGGGCTGGGGTGTTCCTGTCCATCTGGGGAG